GCTGGGAAGGAGACGGGGGTGGGCAGAGCGGCCCCCGCTCTTCTGCGATAGGGATTTCTGTTTGTGTTGGGTTCGTCTCCCACTTTTTTTTTTTTGTTTTTTTGTTTTTTTGTTTTCCCCCCTGTCTTGTATTTTTTTAAAAAAACTTTTTAACTTATTTTTCATTTGCGCTTTTTCAAACTCCCGTTTCGTTTGCATTTTAGTCCCACTTTTATTTGCCTTTTTTCTTTGCATTTCACATTCTTTTGGCGCCCGGCTCGCGCTTTCTGCATCCTTATTGCACATTTTTTTAAATCTCATTTTCATTTGCTTTCTACGCATTTTCCTTTGCATCTTACCCGCATTTTTTTTTTTTTTTTTTTTTTGGATTTTTTTTTTCTTGCACCTTACTCGCATTTTTATTTCCATCTCGCAGGTAATTTTTTTTTTTTTTTCTTTTTAAGTAATTATTGATTTTTCTTTTTCCATTTTAATTCATCTCTCCGTTCCCGTTCCCCAACCGCTCCCGGCGCTGCCGCGCTCCCCATCCCCGCCGCCGTGGCCCCTCGGCGATGAACGGCGGTGCCCCGCCGCCGCCCCCCGCCGCCGCCTCACGCTGCCGCCGCCGCCCCGCCTCTCCGGAGCTGCTGCGCTGCAAACGCCGCTTGGCCTTCGCCTCCCTTTCGGGCAGCGGCACCGCGGCGGCGGCCGTGGCCCGGCGCAACGAGCGGGAGCGCAACCGCGTGCGGTTGGTCAACCTGGGCTTCGCCGCTCTGCGGCAGCACGTCCCCCACGGGACCGCCAGCAAGAAGCTGAGTAAGGTGGAGACGCTGCGCTCCGCCGTCGAGTACATCCGAGCGCTGCAGCGGCTCCTCGACGAGCACGACGCCGCCGCCGCTTTCCCCGACGGCCGAGCGGGCCGCTCTGCGGGGCGGGGGGCTGTCGGGGAAAGCGGCGGCGGCAGCGGCTATTCCTCCGCCTCACCCTGTTCCTCCGAGGAGAGCGGCTACGAGCCGGTGCTCAGCCCCGAGGAGCAGGAACTGCTGGATTTCACCAGCTGGCTTGGGAGCTACTGAGCTGGTGGGAGGTGAGGTGGGCTTGCGGTACTGCAGCTTCCCAGCCCTTTAAGCTTGGGACGCTCACAGAGTTGAAGTGGGCAATGGGATTGTCAGTGGGGCTGGGGTGGTCTATGGAGTTGAGTGATCTTGGAGTCATTGGGTGGCCAATGGGGTCAGACGGCCATTGGGATTGCCAGTAGGGTTGGGTTGACTGATGGCGGTTAAGCGATCATGGGGTTGTATTGTACAATGAGGCTGAGGTAGCCGGTGGGGTGGCCGATGGGGTTGGGTGACCAGTGGACTTGGGGTGGCCGATGAGATTGACTATGAGGTTGAGGTAGCCAGGGGTTTGATGTGGCGGATGGGATTGGGATTGCTGATCAGGTTGGGGTTGCCAATGGGGATTCAGGTGGCCAGTGGGATTGCCAAAGACACTGGGGTTGCTGGTGGTGTTGAGCGGTCATAGGGTTGGAAGCTGAGGAGGCCGTTGGGGTTGGAGATGGAATAGACATGGGTTTTTACAATCTCTCCACAGCCATACCTTGATGCCTATGGTCTTCCACAGCAGCCAGCAGTACCCTCCAAAATAAATCTCCCCCAGAAATTCTCAAGTTCCTCCTGGCTGCTTTCCTTGCTGGGCTGAAGTGCAATGGTGTCATGGCTCCGATGTCTGCTCTGGGGCTGCTGACGGACAAGGTTTTCACCCACTCCAGAGAATGGCTGTGCATCCCCTCGCAGCTACTTCCCATCAGCCTTTGGAAAGGGTGGAAAAAAGAAATGGAAACCACTTGATGCTTCCTTGTTTCTGGAGGGGGAGGGAATTTTTTTTATAATGTCAGATTCTATTTTATATGCAACTTGAACCGCCTATGGGAAGAGTGGTGTATGAAGACTTATTTTTGTATGAGAAACCTTGGGGAAAAGGGTTAAGGAGGTAGCTCTATTTTCAGTCCAATTCCCTTGTTCTTGAACACTGCCAGCTGGAATGTTTGGGGAATATACACTGTTTAGATGAAAGGGTTTGTTTGTTTTTCTTTCTCCAAACACTTTACTAAAGGACTGCAAAGTTTTGTTGCATCTCACTGTGGTGTCTGACTCTGCCTGGTGTGAAGGTTCACTTCTCTGAAAACTGAAGTTGTTTTGTTGTTTGTTTTTTTAAATGTATTGAAGGCATTTTTGTATGCACTTGTTAGGATTTCTTAAGTCGTACATATGCAGTTTTTAAAAAGAGTATCATATTTTATGTAAATTGACTTTATAAATAAAATTCTATTTATAAATGGATTCTGAGCTGCAAGGTGTATGTATTATCCACCAAGTTAACACCTGCCTGAGGACAGACAGCACCCTGGGCTATATGCACTTGCTAAAGGCAATCAGGAGCAGCACAGCATCACACCACACTTGCTTATTGCTACTTGTAGTGCTGCCCACTTAGCAAAGATGGGCCAGAGGGGAGAAACAGGTGGCTCCAGGGCTGGCAGCTCCTCTCCCAGGTGTGCAGGAGTTGCTGCAGGCAGCTCCTGGCCATCACTTCTGGGCTCATGCTGAATACCTGCTTCAGAGGCAAGAAAAATTGCTGTGAGCCCAAACAGCCACAAGAGCATGGAAACCTATGGCAGAGGCTGTTACTTCCCTTCAGTAGCTCCAGTGAATGCTATTAGTGGTGTGAAACAGGCTGGCCTGTAGAATTTGCTGAGCAAAGACAAGACAGAATGGGTTATTAAAATTGACCCACTTTGCAAGAAACTGTATGTGCAAACCTTGAGTAATGCAAAGGTGGAATTTCCCCCACTAAATTTTGAGAGGTACGCTCACTCTCAAGCTCCAAATTCAGTAATTACAGTGGGTGCTTTGCAATCAGATCTACAAATGTATTCTACATACATAAAGCCATCTCAAGAGGAAGAAAGAAAAAAAAAAAAAAAAAAAAAAAAGAGGGGAAAATACAGGCTCTAGCAGCAGGATAGCATTAGGAGCTGCAGGCAAGGAGCCATGCTAAGGGAGAGCTGCTGTGCTTACGGCCTGTTCCCTAACCAAGGCTGCTGTAACAAGCTGTCCCTTGGGAAGGCCCTGGGAATTGAAGTGCTCAGTGAATCTGTTGCTGAGGTTCTCCCCCATGCAGCTCACCAACAGCCCCTGAGATGGCAGAGAGGCTGTCAGCTGGCCTGGGCTTAACTCATCTGTTGCACCTGGAGGAGCACCTGATTGGGGTGGGGGGAACAGGGGTTTGGTGTTGGCTTAAGGGCTTCATCCTCACAGAGTACATCTAAAAATGCAGTCAGACATTTAGGCTGGAGAGTTCTGAGGTCAAACCTCATGCAGATCCCACGTGCTTATTCTCAGCCTAAGCCAATGGCTAACCCCTTTTCCAAATGAATTAGGAAGCAGGACTGCTGTGTTTGCCTTCACAAGTTCCCCATTCCAACAGAAGGCATTTGTGTGGATGATTTTACTACGGGCCTGGCAGCTGTTTTCCTTCTTCAGAAGCACTGATTATTTCAGTATTTCCAATAGCAACGTTTGGCTTCGAGTCAAGACACTCCCAGCATCCTTACAAGGGTCAGCAGATCACCCAAACTACTGTTGCAGCAACACAAGAGTGGCATCAACTGTAACAGTGTTAGCAAGAAGTTAGCCACAAACAGTCATCATTTAAGTGATATTGACTTTAGGATAAGAGATTCTACAAGCTCACCCCTGGGCCTCTCTGCTCTGTGTGTGCAAACTGTCAGAGTGAAGGCATGGGGACAAGAGCATTCTGCCCATGAGAGTCACCTGTGCAGAGTCTCCACAAGCACATTATTTCTCCTAAGGGATATAGCTAGGGATTCAGTGCCCAAAACAGAAGCTCCAAGGCAGACATAAACCCAACTCTCAGGCCCAGAGCTGCAGGAGGATCAGGCAGAAGAATTGTGTTGAGGAATCAGAATTAGTGGGAAAGAGTAGGCAGTAGCAACCTAGGGTCACCAGGGAGCACAGGCTTGTCAGTGTGTAGCTACAAAACACTTCTGCAAGCCTCTTGTTTACACCCATTGACACAGTAACACATGTACAAAACCAGTGAGGAAACAAGACCGGAGCAGTTAGCTCACAGCTCCAGTTACTCAGACCCACAGCCCATGCTGGCCTCCTCCGTGTGGTCTTTGGTGTTTGTAAATTGCTTTTTAACCTGCCCCCAGCCCATCTCACACACACACCACCAAAACAGCTCGACCTTCCCATCTTCCCACCCAGCAGTTCCCACATCACAGATGCACTGATGAAGTGGAAATAAGTTGTGGGACCACGTTAGGATGGGCAGCCCCTTCCCCAGACTTAAGTAACCCTTCTGTTTTCAACCACCTCCCCTGCTAGCATTTTGAGGTACTCAGGTCAAAGCTACACTTGTTTTACCCAGCGCTTCCTTGCAACAAAGCACACTTCATTTCACTGCAGGGGTTAAACGGTGCTCCTCCTCCTCATGGGCAGCTCAAGGCTTAGCTCCATGGCTGCCCTACCTTGGAGCCTGCATGTTGAGAAATGAGTTGCTGCTTCTCTATCCAAGGTCTGAAGACAGGTTTTGCTCTTACCAGTGCTTTGTCTCTATCATACTAACTAGCTTTTTCCATTCTTCCTCCCCCCCATATTCACGGAAGAGGTTTAAGCCTACACTGAAACACAAGCAGAAGAACAGAGCACTAGCCCTAACAAGGCATCTTCTAGAGGGGGATCACTGTGTACCTGCTGGGAGCATCACCAAAAGCATCATCCTCAAGAAAAGCCCAGGCAGATGGGGTTCTCCAGCACCAGCAGGCAGGAAGAAACCAAGAGAAACATTTGATATCTGCCCAAGGTATCAGTGTTGATCTACAGTGAAGAAGAAACAGTCACGTAGAGAAACAGATGTAAGAGGACATGATCAGCAGTGGCAGATACAGAAAGAGCAGCATTAGGATAGCCCTACTGACTTCAGTCAGCTCATCCTTCACACGGCATGCAGACAGAAGGAAAGAAAACACGTTTGAACCTCAACCACATAAATGCTTTTTTTTTTTCTTTTTGTGGGTAGACCTAGGATCAGAGGCATAAACAGTAGAAAAGAAGAAAATTTTGATAATAGTATTGTTGGCTGCCAGAACCAGGGCAGTGCTGAAAGCTCGGACCTTGGAATATCCAGCTTACTGCTGCAGAAACCTGCCTTCTCTCCATCCCCTTTCATCTCCTGGCCTCAGCCCCACTGCTTTAAACTTCCAGTACAATGGTTACCCAGTCACCAGACCGAGTAAACTGTGCTTGCTTTTTAAGTTTGGCTTTTCATATATATATATATATATATATATATATTTTTTTTTTTTACAAAGGGGAAGAAAAACCAACACAGAGAAGCATGATAGCCCCAAGGGGAATTTTCTATTAAAGCCACTGCCAAAAGAATGACCAACTTATAAGTGAGATGTTGACACTTTTACAACACTGCAAATATCTTGTTTTAGAGTAAAACACTTCAAGTAGTTTTTTGCATGCTTTGTTTTTTTTTTTTTTTTTTTACTTTAAAGAAATAGATTTTGTCAGGATATTAAATACTAGGAGGAAATGTTGCAATACTCAACACCTTCTCTCTTCTTGCCATTTCCCCATTTCATACACACAACTCCATCAAGATTTCACAAAGGAGCCCCAGTCCCTATAGCAGAACAATGCATGCAAAGAACAGATGAAACCTACTAGGCAAATAAAACCTAGTGCAGAAGAATGCACAAACATAATAGTTCTCTTACCAACACATAGAGACCTCCCCCCTAGTTCTCAGCATCGGTTTGACTCCACCAAGGTCTTGATTATATCAAATGGAAGCCAACTGGTTTGAGTGCAAGCACCTGCTTCCTTTGGTGAAGCACCTGTGTGCCATTCCCTGATGAAGGGGCTCTGCACTTATCCCTGTCTCTTCTTCTGGCCTAGGAAACACGTGGCACCAGAGTAAGTGTGCAGCACGTGCTGCATTCAGGTCTGATTTGAATGGAGATGAAGATACTCTGCACCAACTCCTTGCCCAATTCCCCCCAAACCCTCTCCAGCAGCAATGATGGCTGTCCCACCGCTGCATCCCCACGTGCTGCAGAGATCTAGGGCAGCACAGGGGTAGTTTACACCCTTCAGTCTTTGGTCTCACTGCAGGACAGTCAGTAAACAGGGGGGGGAGCAGAGAGGCTTTTGAAGTGGGGAGACCACAAAGCTCATTTAGGATGCACACACCACTGAAAAACCCCAACCACCAGTCAGTAATAACTTCAAACCAGTGCTGACTGGAGTTGAAAACAGAGATGTATGGGCAGAAAAAGAGCACCTAAGCCAAGTACAGAAGTGGTGTAAACTGAATATGACTCTGTTTATGATGCTGGAGAGAGCTAATGGTTGCCGGCAGGCAAGTCTTGCTGTTAAAGAAAATCACACACCTTTCAAGTCTAGCAGAAATCATGATGAACCACCTCTGTGCAGTGCTATCAGGTGGAGAGAGCAAGGCTGGTATCCACGTCCTACATATCACATGGCCAGTTGGACTATACTGTGAAGTCAGGATCCTTAGTGGCAGCTGGGGTGTCAGAAGGGTAGATGGACTTGGTGTGGGACACTGCCTGCAAACTGTTTGCTTTTGCTGCCTTTGGGGAGCAAGTGAACTGAACAACCTCCTGCTGCCTTCTCAGCCTGATTTCTCACTCCCTGGTGAAGCAGCATCACCATTGCAACGCTGCATCCATCCCTTGGTAGCATCACTGTATGCCATACAGTAACCTGTAATAAGCTTCCCACTAAGTTCTGAGCAATATGGAAATTATTAGTTTGCCAGAACTGACTAAGTTATTTATTGAGAATAGAGTGGGGAATTTGTTGCTGCTTGCTTTCCCCTGGTAATTTATGGTCTGAACTGAGACTTTATTTTTGAACAGAAGATGCTCAACAGCTCCAAGCCTGTTCTGCATCAGCCACCATGCACAGCTGCATCCTGTGCTCCTGCAGCCCAGCAAGATGAGGTGGTCCAGCCACAGAGACTGCGTCAGCAATGGAGTACTCATAAACCAATCACTTTAGCTCACTACTACAGCTGCTCCTACAAGGTGCAAGGATCAGATCTCTTGATTGAACCTGATGATTCTGAAGGTCTTTTCCAATCTAGATGATCCTATGATTCTATGACTCAAGACACGAGGACTTTGGACCTCATTCCTTACCTGGAGTCTGGAAACATCAGGAGTTTTCAAGCTGGGACTTGCTTGGTGCAATGGACTCCAACAGCACAGCCTTTC